ATTTGGTGTTGATTGAGAGATAAGCGAGCGATATGTCCTATAATAGAGGTATTGCGGGTCTTGTTTTAGAGATAAAAGTCGGCCATGGAGGACGCATCGCCATTCGTCACTTTCAGGAACATTGTGCCATCTAGAGACTCGAAATAGTCAGGAATATCGTTTCCATTCGATGATCAAGTGATATAGCCTACCGAAAGGACTGACCGCAGCGCAAGGTTGTGTTAATACATAATTCACTTAAACTCATGGGAAATTTGCGCCATTCTGAGAAGGCCCCAACAGTCATGATGTCAAAAAGGGAACGTCATATAGAAATGGGAACAACTTGCAGTCTTGCAGCTCTTAGAGGTACTGATAGGAGATAAATGTATCTCGAAATTCTGCCGTGTCTCCCTCCTAAGAGGCAGGCGGTAGTTCATGTTCACAGCTAGCGCGCTAACCGCTTCGATTCTAGACGCCGGCGGTTGCTCTTCGCCGCCGATTTCACGACCTGCGAGTTTTCCAGCCAGACGCTCAGCGCAACTCCTTCCTTTGTCCAAGACCCCTTTGATAGGTTTGGTTATATCATCAGGATCGCCTTGTTGATATTATCTATCGCTCTGAAAGGTCAACCCTTATATTTTGTTGACTTACTTCTCGCCACGTTGAGTAAAAGGAGCAGGAAAGGATAAGATAGCTCGTCCAACATGAACGGCGATACTTACTCTTCTTCGCGAGGTGAGAGATCTTTCTATCTTCCACAATTTAACTGTAACTGACCATGAGAACAGGAGAACCCGGCCGCTCAAGAGAGCACTACGTAAGTCGCTACAGCCGCTAGGATGAACTCTCATAAACAATTGCTAATGTGGCCTCGACAGCGCGACGAAAGACGCGAACGCGGAGGTGAACGTGGTGAAAGAGGAGAGAGAGGAGAGAGGAGACGATCGAGATCCCCCCATTACGGCTCCAGGGGCTCCCGACGTGAATACGAGGCAGACTCATACTCGTCGAGTCGCGACTACCGCGCCAGAGAACGAGAGGACCGCTACTCCGGCCGGAGAGACGACCGCGAATGGGACCGGGAGCGCGGCGATCGCGGCGATCGCCGACGCAGAGATTTTGATGATAGATCGTCTCGACGTGACCGGGATAGAGACTTGTTCGAAGAGAAACCCCGGAGAGAACGAGGAGGAGACCGCGAGCGCGAGCGCGATCGCGACCGGGAGAAGAAAGAACGGAAAAGAAGCGCAACCCCTCCACGCAAGAGGGAGCCCACGCCCGATCTGACAGATGTGCCATCTGTTCTGACTAGGAAACGTCGTTTGACGCAGTGGGACATTAAGCCTCCTGGTTATGAGAATGTTACTGCTGAACAAGCCAAGCTGTCGGGTAAGTTGCGACTACGCGACGTGTATCTATCCATATGTAAGTTGTGGCTAACGTTTCTAGGCATGTTTCCCCTTCCCGGAGCACCTCGCCAGCAGCCAATGGACCCCAGCCGCCTTCAAGCTTTCATGAACCAGCCTGGTGGTGGATCTGCGGACAATTCAGCCCTCAAGCCGTCCAACTCGCGTCAGGCCAAGCGTCTGTTCGTATACAACCTGCCTCCCGGCATTTCCAGCGAGCATCTCGTGTCCTTCTTCAACCTGCAACTCAACGGCCTCAATGTCATTCACAGTGTGGACCCTTGTATCTCGGCCCAAATATCCGAAGACCATAGTTTTGCACTTCTAGAGTTCAAGACACCCAACGACACCACGGTTGCTCTTGCCTTTGATGGCATCACGATGGAGGAGCACGAAACCGTCAGTGGAGCTGAGAACGGCGCCCCCAAGGGGCTCGAAGTGCGCCGACCCAAGGATTACATTGTCCCGAACGGCAGTGCGGACCAAGAATACCAGGAGGGTGTGTTGCTGAATGAGGTCCCCGACTCGCCCAACAAGATTTGTGTGTCCAATATCCCGCAATATATTCCAGAAGAGCCCGTGACCATGTTACTCAAGTCGTTTGGCGAACTCAAATCGTTTGTACTTGTGAAAGATAGCTCGACGGAAGAGTCAAGGGTAAGTGGTGTCTATCCGAGCGCGGTAAGGTTTTTACTGACTTGCCAAGGGTATCGCTTTCTGCGAGTACGCTGACCCCTCAGCGACTCCTATCGCTGTGGAGGGTCTCAACGGTATGGAATTGGGCGACCGGCATCTCAAGGTTGTGCGTGCTAGTATCGGAATGACGCAGGCCACCGGGCTTGACATGGGAGTCAACGCGATGTCGATGTTCGCCAAGACTACATCCCAGGATTTGGAGAGCAGCCGTGTCTTGCAGTTGTTGAACATGGTGACGCCGGAGGAGCTTTTGGACAATGATGATTACGAAGGTAAGTTCTTTCATTGACGGGGCAATTTTCAAAATTTACTAACTCTGGTACAGAAATTTGCGATGATGTTCGCGAGGAGTGCTCCAAGTATGGCAAGGTCCTGGACTTGAAGGTGCCACGTCCTTCTGGCGGCAGCAGGCAGTCTCCCGGAGTGGGAAAGATCTATGTCAAGTTTGACACGGTAGAATCGACCACCAATGCCCTGAAAGCGCTTGCGGGCAGAAAGTTCTCTGATCGGACAGTGGTGACGACCTACTTTTCCGAGGTGAGTTGTCCCTAGGCCATTTCTTCTTGTTTTATTCTGACGGTATCTTGCAGGAAAATTTCGATGTGAGCGCCTGGTAGTCGATAAACGGAGGGCTAGGACTCATTGATTGTGGTATTATCCCTGGTGCTCACGGAAATAATTTGCAACTCAAAATCTATTCCCTTTCTATTTGAACCTTGCTTGACCGGCGTTTGCAAACAATCCCTCGAAGGATCAAATCAATTGTGCTTGCATCGGACGATGCAACTAGTTTGACCATGTATCATAGCAGAAGTGACTAAGCTCGTGAAAGTCCGATCATCTAAGTTGTAGTGATGTGCACTTGGAAGGATTGCTAAGCATTCGTACTCCATGATATCGACTTTAGACGAGAACTCCACCCAACACCGCTACTATGCATGAATACGAACACAAGAGGTTCAAATCTTTACTTGAAGTCCTGATCCCCAATCCACAATCACATGAAAACCGCCCAAGCCTAGCTACGCGCTCTCTGAGGCCCGCTCCACTGCCGAGGCCGGTACACCGTACGTTTTAGTCTAGACCTACCGGTGTCGACCCACGAACACATCCAGTGCACCACGCACATCAAACTCAATCCAGTCTACCTGGCACTATCGAATATGAGTCCCAAACTTGAGTCGTTTACCCCATGGGGTAGTGAAAGGGAGATCCATATCCATATCCATATCCGTACCCGTACCGATTAATTGATAGTCAACCATTCCAGCTTCCGCTTATCCGTGTTTGCGGGGTTGAACTCGACGCACTAGTAAACTATCTACTTGTAGATCAGCGAGTTTGATACCCATGCCGTCAAGGTCCTATTGAGCTTATGGTGCTGAGTCTGACACACAGTGAGGCGGGTGCTAAGCTCAGCCTACGGTGGTAGAATCACGCTTGTTGAAGGATTTTCACATGTCCCAGAATTGCCATTGCCATTGCCATTGCCATTGCCGCCACAAGAGGAGAATGAGGCGTTGGACCCGCCTGTCGGATGTGAGGTAAAGTACTTTGTACTCATGCTTCTTCTAGTGATGATGCTGATGCCTAGGTTTAGAGGAGATAAAGTCGTCTCCATATCCCCGCAATGAGGGATTTTTATGGAGTATCGCGTGTGTAGTTACCATATCTCACTGTCTCATCTCTTGGGACTTTCTGACGGCGTACGGAGTAACGGAGGAATCAGTGGAGAAGATCCTGTCTGATCTCGATTCGATAGTCGATATTTCTCTGCCCATCACACTCCACAGCAATACGGAGTAGACTACTACTCTGAGAGTCTCTAGTTCTACTCTTTGACAAGGTATCAGTGATAGTGCCAGTGCTACCCCGTACATGCACGAGATTACTCGTGGATTATTGATTAATAGTCTCCCTCGCCTGTACGAATCCCTGTCCTTAATGCAGGAACGGCCATGTTCCTGTTTGGGTGTGTTACATTGCATCAGCTACCTTACATGGATCTATGGATGGTGACCGTGACCCCGATACTCGATTTCCATGGTCTAGATACTGCATCACTCATCTACGGTGAGGATCGCGTAGTGCGAAATATCTGATTCACGTTGACATCACGATATGGCAAGCTCAAACTTTAGTTTACCTTGGTCTGCAGTTACAGTTTACAGTTTACACTCTGAAATTTTAGCTAGCTATGGTACTCCGTAGACTACACCGAGTCACCGACCTGTGGAACGGATACGGATACGCTGTCTGGCACAACGTGTCTTACAGTTGCAGTCTTACCTCTTACCCCGTAGCCAAAGTCTATCTTGGCCAGAATCCACCACCAGTTTTCTTCTAGAAGGATCGGCTAAAGTAAGTTGCAGCTTACAAGAGCGATTATTGGTGGTTGGTTTGACCGTGTGAAGATAGTCCAAGGTAGCTGATGCAAGTGCCGAGTTTCAGATCGTCTCATACTGTTACTGTTGATGTTACAGTCTAGAGTTCGTGGTGTGGAGGGTGGATACTTGTCGCGGAGATGGACTCGACGGCCATAATTTTAAGGCGATGGTGATAGGCTTTATATCACAAGGACAGAAGTCGTTCTTCATCTCGCCCACAAGGCAAGGACACTGGAATGCGGGGAATCTAGTTCCTAAATTCAAGGTGTGGGTTGCTTTTCCTACATCCTTGAATTCTGTATACTCTGATGTGTATTATGGAATACATTGTAAATCGGAGATGCTGACGCCTGCGAAAGTAATATGCACGGTATATCTTTTGACATGAAGAGAAGGAAACAGAGGGCCAGAAGTAACATTGCTAGGGTATACATTGCATCGTCCAAAACCAATATACAAAGAATTTTAAACTCCTCAACAGCGTGACATGGCATTACATTAAAACCAAAGACCCAAAAAAGACACCAGTCTAGTCATCATCTTCCCGATAGACGGCCGGGGCGAACGTTGTCTTGGGATCCCAGTCGCGCCCTTGTGATGCGCTGGGCGGCCGCGGGCTGGAGAAGCTCATGGACGGCCGCACGTACCTGGCATCTCGCCCGAAGTGGCCATTCTCGGGACTCTTCGTCCCCGCCATGCGCGCAGGACTTGGCGATCGGACCATGGGCGATGGTGATTTGTAGGAGGGGAGTCCCGTGCTGTTGAGCATCTCGTAGGACCGCGCGTCGCCCAGCCGCCCGCGCGCATCAGCGGAAACGAACTCGAGACGGGCCTCGCCCATGCCGAACATGTTCTGGAAGAAGTCGACCCAGCCGCGGAACATCGAGGGGCGAGCAAAGAGGATGAAGTTCCAGAATCCGACCAGGGAGAGGAGGATCAGGACGGCGAGCAGTAGTCCTTCGCTGGGCCGGACCTTTGCCGCCTCGTGGTCGCATTTTTCCCGGTCACCCCCGGAGGCTGCCAGACACGCAATCCATGGAGTCGCCTTTTTCATATTCTCTCGCGTCGGTTTGAGACCGCTGTCGAGGTCGATGAAGGTCACGGCGAAGAAAATCACATTCGCGACGATGATCAAGACTAGAGCTACGCCTCGCCATTGTAGTTGGAGGACTCTTCGGATGCGACGGTATGCTTGACGAGCGGACACGGTGCGGACGCTGGAGGAGTAGGACGGCAATCCCGAGCTATTTGTGGTTGAATCCGTGTCGAAGAGAGACTTGATGTAGACGTGGATGCAGTACCCCATTGTCGCCAGTTGCAGGATCAGCGCGGCAACGGAGAACGAGATGATGGGGATCCAGTAATCCTGCAGGCCACGATCGATGTTGATATGACAAATGGTGCCGAATCGGAAAGATACGCCCGTCAAGAGCAGCATCACCGTGAGCCCTATAGCTGGGACGACCCAACCGAAGATCAACGCTCCCCACATGAATTTCGGACCCAGTATCACTTCCCAGCATACCTGAAGATGGAAGGCCACCGTACGGAGAAAACCTGGAGATCATTAGTACGAGTCAACCCACACAAGCTCAGAATCGTTCCCAAACATACTCCATACTACCACCATCCAGCCTCCGAAAAGAAGAAGGGCACCTGTGAAAGCGCACGAGAGACTAGAATGCATATCGTTGGGAGTGATCTGGTTATGGCATTGATCCGGTTTTACCCCTAGAGGGATAATGAACGCAATCTGCATGTCGGTTAATAACACGTCCTGGGACCCTCCAATGCGCCATTTCTACTTACCTCCATGAAACAGATGCCCAATGTGAAGCAGATACTGAGGTAGTGGCGATGCGTAAATTTGACCGGAAGGACTGCATACGACACAAGCAGGAAGATACAGAGTGGCAACATAGCGACACTGATCCAACTCGCAGAACTCGCTTTCTCGAACAACCCTGCAAAATTGTAAAAGAGGTTAAAGTGAGACGGCTACTCTGCAACTCAAACAGGTACACAGTGTGAGCTTACCATCACCGTACGTCCATGCTACTATCGGACAGGGTAAACAGCAAGAGATATCGCCCACAGGTTGACAATAACGACCTCCGATGACTAACAAGCAAAAACCAACACGATCAGCCAATGTCGACAACAGCAAGCCAGCAATAATCAGGGGAGCGTACATCCACCGGTGGAGGGGAAGAGTTCTTCCTGAAGAAACGGTACCGGACACAGCCCGTTCAATGCTGTACGATTCATCATACTGGCGGACTTGTTCGTGTGACTTCTGCGAAATGCGATTGCGGTTGCCCGAAGTTCATATCCCGTTCATGCAATGGTCGTAGTATATTTTGCGAGTTGTTTCTGGAGGCTCAAGGGTGTGTGCACACCTCGCGCGAAGGGCTCGCAGCCGAGCAACAGCTGCGATGAATATAATTAAACGTTGCTGAGTTGAGGTATACAGTCAAGAGGTGGAGGAGGGGAAAAAGTGACAGAAAGCTAGATCGAGGGGCAAGGTAGTAAGATATACATGGATTGGAATAACATGTCTACTTCCCCGAACCCACAGAAGATACTAAGAGGAACAAGCCAGGATCTTCAATCCTTGGGGGCGAGTAGCTAAAATAATACTGCTAGACTAGCCTGCAAAGTGCTAATAATGCCATCCATGTAGGCTCATACCTCTAGTAAGGGGACAGGAGGCCCGTTCACCCAGGGCACGAGTCCATTGTTCCGCCAGCCCACCATGAGACGATGATTGGATCTGGGATCAGTGAGTAGGCCGACCAGTTTCCTTCGAGGAACGTGAGACTTGAGCTTGGCACCAGGGGCATTGGTGTGGTTAGTGGAAACGAAGCGAACGAGCATGCAGGAGAAAAGCACCAATGAAGAAGCACAGAGTTTGTCGCGTATCCAATCGACCGGGGACGGAGCCGGCGGCCATCAGAATTTAGGATGATTTAGGACTGTAACTGTAGTAGAAGGCTAAGATTGGTTGCTGGACTTGCCGTAACTCGGTAAGGAAAGGATCAGTCTGGGCGGGGCAACAAACGGTTATGAACTCCACTAGAAGATGGAAAGGAAGTCAAGAACAGAAACTTCACAGTCTAGACTATCTACGAAGAGGAAATGCAACAATTCTGGTGTTCGTCGCGAAACATCATTGGGTTTCAAGTTACCAAGAGTGGTAAAGGTGGAGTTCGCCTATGGTTGGTTGTATTGATACAAAAGCTGGTAAACTTGCTAAGTTAAATATCTAACTATTTATTATTGTTATGTGTCAGCAGAGACGCAAAACCCTCCTGAAGGTTTATAGTATCAAGCTTCAGTTACGTGATGAAAAATGAGTGCTCTATATGTCGATCTGTTCTGGACGTTGACTGACAATCTGATTCTTTGGATTAGCATTCTCTGCTTTTTCTTTGTTGGGAAAGTCTGGGACATCCTTCTGTCGGTCCCATGGTACTACGGAGTATTAGGTAGAGTCCCTCATGATAAGGAACGCACGAGGTTTTACCCGTCTTTCGGTAACCCCCGTCTTCATCCTATCCCGTTAGCCAAATTCAGATACCTTTGCGGACTACTCCGTACACATTGCTTGCCTAAGTTATGAACGGTTCAGAAGTAGGCAATCCTCTTCCCAAATTCATTATTATTACAGTAGGTAATAATTCATTTAATACTCCATAGTCTTCCAGGGTCCAGGATCAATGCAATTATTACCAGGTAGGTACCGTAGGTATGACCAATTCCTGGTACCTTACAGGTGTTGCTGGCTTGTTATTGTAGCATTGCCCCATGGAGGCTTCGTATACGTACGTAAAGCCGTCCCGTAGGAGCTTTTCTATCAACCAGGGGTATCCAAGCCTCTGTGGTAATTAGGCGAATAGCCATGCATTCAAGATGGATCTTTCTGTCCGCTAGGCCCAAGTAAGCAGGCCTGCCAGACGCTAATGGCTACAAAACGAACTAAATTCTGCATTGAAATTTATGAGTGAGGGGAAGATCCCCGACTCCTTAGGCTCGCGCTTGCTTTGTCCCTTTGACTTGTCTCCCTCCTCTGCAAGCGGCAATAAGGTAGTCACTCACCTGCTTACTGCTGCCATTTGCCCCTGGTACCTGCGGCGTCTGAACCAGGTGCATAACTGCAAAGGATGTCATACAAGAATTTGACTTTCTCTTCCTCCCTACCTACCGAAAGTTTGATTCTCAAAAGCAATCATAAAGTATGAAAATCATTAGATAGAGAAAACAATACTCCGTACCGGCTGTGCCTTGGGTTGCGAGCTGAGACGTCAGCCGAAGCCTCACTTCTTGTGGGCACAGAGGAGGCACGCCCTTTTAAAAAGTAATCGCTAATTTAGAGATAGGATCTAGATCTTGCCTAGGCAGCGATTCCGTATCCGTTCTCAACTTCTCCACAGTGACAAGAATAACAATGATATCTAATAAGATACTTACTTCGTACCACTGTCAAATGTCAGGCACTTTGACTGCTTCCTAGTCTAATCTGCCAATCTCTGACGGAAAATGATGCGCATACAGACTAGTCTACAGACAGAATACAAATCTCCACAACCCCAAGCCTCATTCCAACCACCCACTCTCATGAAGATTTCCAAAGTTTAAGTCTCAGACTGAATCCTCCGTCTTCCTTCGTTATCTGCACCATCATGGACCATCCCCTTGAGCCGCACGTGCGCCAAGTTCTCACGTCCATCGGTTTCAGATCGATAACTAGTGGTCTAGTACGCAATAGGCTGTAGCAGAGCCAGGAACCGCATAGTCGCAAACACTGGTCTTTTTACCATTCCAGGAATCGGGTTTCCAGACCATACCTAGGTAAGCAGGTGTTGCTTGACGGCACAATATGCTTATTGATCGGCAGCCTCCGCGGACAAGGCACGCGGCATGGGTAACCGGAATATGGGATAGACTAGGGATGAAGTTTCCCCAACAGTTTACGGGCAATCCTCGCCTCAGAGAAGCTCGACAGTCTCTAAACTCGCAAGACGGGTGTCTTCTTGTCTGGTTAAGCAATGATCTTCGCAGCAGACAATGACTCCAACCCATAATTTGCTTGATATTACTCCGTATCTACTCCCTATGTCGAGTCGAATACTCGGAACTGACGGTCAGATAGTACTCTGCAAAGGGCTTTGAAGCCTTGTGCCTACTCTGAGATCCAGTACCAGACCGAATACCTAAAGGCTAAATCAATAAACATGGCTAGGTTTTTCTTCAAATCGAGCCGGAATAATGGCAATTCTGGGTGATCTACATATCCTCAGCCTCACAATAATAAATGGAGTACGGAGTGTTTGCACAACATCGCTCCTTGCTGAGTGCCGAATTTGGTTGCTTTTTTCCATTTCCTCTGGCGTCAGCCACCCACGTGGAGACTTCTATTATGGGAGCAGCCCCTGGTGTCTAGCATTAAGGTATTTTGTAGGTTTCTCCGTTGGTTTTTCCACCCTGGTTTCTGCGACTCGGGCTCTCCCCGAGTTGGGCACCACTGAAGTCCTCTAAATAATGGTCTATAAGACTGACACGGCCCGTCTCACGATGTGTGATGATTAGTACAAATTCTTGCTGCGTATTCTATACTCCAACAGGTTCTACTTAGTCGTAAGAGAGTAGATCGTTGTGGTGATTGGGTATCCAGATTGTTGTATATATACGTAAATAAAACCAATAGCGGCAGGAGACTCCTCCCTGATTCGTCGTAATCATTGGAGTTCCGATGCGGAATGTCATAGCAAAGCTGATCCCCGACCTCTGTGAGGCAAATGTCGAACGACTACTGCAGCTACGCCGCACCTGCTGGCGATCAGCGCAACGGTAGTAATGGCAATATCAGAAAATAAACAATTACAGAGTAGACCAGAGACATAGTCAGCCTCATGTTACGACGCGGACAAGCAGCGCAAACACTCTACTATCAGGCTAATTATCATAACCCTTAGTCTAGTCATGGCACGAGAATTATTTTTCCGGTGTGCACGGGAGGAGATTACACGGCAGCCTAGACGGGTCCAATCCTCGAGGCGAGGCTGCGATTTTGCCATCAAACAGATGGCACAGCGGTGCACAGAAAGATTGTATTTGGGTTTTGCCACAGTCTTGCACGAATCTCGTCAAGCGGCCGTGTGTTTGGTTCTGAAGACTGTCGCACACTCGCACTTATGCTCCATACAATCCTTGGAAGAGGCAAGCTGAGCCCAGACCTCGTCGATATTGCAATTGGTGCTAATTACTCCGTAGATAAGAGACAATAGAACTAAGCTGAGCATTGGCATGGCATCAGCTCTTGATTCCGGGGAACCGGTGGAATCGGCGGTGATTTGCGGAACGATCAGCAGCAATTAACGGCAATAGCATATATCGCTCAAGGCAAACTTTAGCGGCGTAAGGCGCAACCGGGATTCGGTGGAAAGGAGGGACATCATAACTCAATTCCTAACATCTATAGGACCATTGTTGAACTTTCCTGATCCTGGCCGCTTCCTTTGAATAAACATAAGTAGAAACTACTCAGACTCGATGGGTTTAGTGACCTCCAGCGTTGATGCTGCCTTCTCCTTGGTTGATTGAGAAGCAAGTCACATCGAACTCCTCCCGCCATCGAACCAATCGGCCTCCCTTCCTTCATCCTTGCGGTGATCTGGAAGCGAATTGGTTCTCTTGCAAGCCAATCTACGATTATTACAGACGCTTCTCGATATCGATCCTTAACTCTACTGATTACATTCCATGGACTCGATAGTCAATACGGAGTACCCTGCGGTCAATGCCCGCGCGAAATCATAGTCTATTCTAATTAATCGACGTCTGCTGCAGCAGTCCGAAGCGCTTCCTGCATTGATCGTCACCCGTTCTACAGACGCTGTCATATAGACCTGATTCGACAGCACTACGTATACATGCTCTGTCATTTTTCTGCAGCGGTCGAATCGGGGAGCGTGTTTTCGTTCTTTGCTATTCCCTGAACCTGGCCACATGATGTGATGTCGTTTGTCTGCTCCAATCCCGCTTCCAGAAAACGCTGTTCTCTGTATTTGAAATCGTTGTGCGTCTGCGCCATGCGAGCGAATTGGCTGGCAAGTCCATGTTTGTCGACCTTCAAAAGTTGCGGTCACGTCGAAGATCCTTACGTGTTCTGGCTCCGGATGAATGTCTGGTTATGCTTCATCACTTGGACTTGTCTGGTGACTGGGAAGCGCACGAGACCAGATCTATCGTTCCTGTCAATATCCTGCATT